ACATCCTCTCTGCCATGGCTATCCCCGCACACATTCTTCTGCCAGAACCAAATGGGAAATAGTTGAAATCATTTCCACTATAATCACATTTATTGTCCAAAAATCTTTCTGGATGGAACTCAGTTGGATTTTCCCATATAGAAGGATCTCTATGTATAGCCCATACGTTTAAGAAAACACGAGATCCTTTAGGAACAGTGTATCCTCCAGCAATGCTTGTCTCACTAGGACAATGAGGAACCAAGAGTGGAAGTATTGGATGTAGACGCAAGACTTCTTTCATAACTGCATAGAAATATGGTAACTGTTGAATATGAAACTCTTCCACTATGTTATCTTTTCCCACAATTGTATCTACTTCTTGTTGTAATTTCCTCAAGACGTTTGGTTTGTTCATAATTTCAGCCATGGCAAACTCAACTGTGTTAGCGGTTGTAGCAGTTCCACCGACAACCATATCCTGTTCACAGTATTTGTAAAATTATCATCATGTACAACATTTTTTAATTTGAAGAACTGTATAATATATAGGTGTTCAGTTCAAGGTTCTCAATTAAGTCTTCACATAATTTTGATAGAATTAAGCTTTACATATTATTTGATGATAAATGACTCTTTCCTTAGTACAGTCCAATAACAAGTTAGCAACCAACAGTTCAGTCATCTAATGGAAACAATCAAAATGCGCAGCCGATAAAACATACCATAAGTAAGGCTTTGAGTTCAGTCATAGACAGAGGCATTTTGGCATCTGCTTCATCTTTCAACTTCAGCAAAACTTGCAAAAAGTCCTTGCTTTCTTGACCAACATCAGCTCCCATCTCAGCATTTCTATCCATTTTCTGTCTTTGATCAATCATTTTCTCAAATATCTTATCAAATCTCTTTGCCAACACTTTCATCTTCTTTGAAACACCCTGCAAATCGAACCAGTCCAAGCCCCGGTAAAAATCGGAAACATTTGGAGTACCTAACAGCTCAGTAATTCCATACACAACATGCCTAAACTCTGCCCCAAGATTAGCTCTTTCCTCACCCTTCACTGTGCCACCCCATAACGTGCTTGTAATCACATTAAACATAGTCAAGAACATCTGTTCACCAACATTCACAGGCAATCCGGCCTGACTATAGAAGTAATTGATTGTCTGTCTAAGCTCCTTTTTCCTTAGTGCATAAACAGGATCTAAAGCAGAACCACCAAGCATATCACGAACACAAACCTTCTTCAACATACGCCATTTCGGTCCAAAAGGATTCCAAACTATGTCAGCACCGCCATACGACATTTCTCTTCCAGCAGCAGGGACATCTCTGTTAGCAAAAATGGTATCTTGTTCCTTAAGAACCTCGCGAGCTAAGGCAGGCGAAGTAATAATAATCCCAAGTTTTTTACCAAGCCGGAGTCTACAAATGGGGCCATAAGTTTGGGAAAGAGATGCAAAATAGGTGTGAAGTTCAGGTTCAAGAGAATGGAGATTACCTATCAAGGGCAAAGCTTTAGGCCCTGGTGGCAGTCTCTTGTTTGAGTTATTACTGATGAAAAACCAAAGGAACCATAGTAAAGCTAAAAACCCAAGAAAATAGGAGAAAAACACCCCCTTTTGCTCAACATTGAGTTCTTGAAGGAGCCACGAGGAAGAATAAAAAGGGGTTTGAAGAATTTGAGAGACATTATTAGAGGAAAATGAAAATTGGCAAAAGCAATGTGGTGGAAAGCTTGAAGCCTTTGCAGGACTTTAAAGGAGATATTTTGGAAGAAGACGAAAAAAATTCAGCATCCCCATCATTACATGAAACACCATTAAATTCGGTCGACATAGCACGAGTAATATATTTATTTTATGAGTATTTTTTTCGGATAATTTTACAGATTTTCCTAGAAGTTTCGTTATATAACATTTCTCTCACGTGTGATTTACGATATTATACCTATAGCTTATCTTTTTAAATTTGATTTTTTCATAGCCATTTTTCGAACAGGTTTAAAATAAATATAATTAATTGCAATTTGACATTTGTCCGTCTTTATATTAATTTCGTCATATTAATTCATATTTAAAAAAATAAGTTATTTAATAAAAACTTAAAAAATAAATTATTAAGAAGAAATGTGTATCTTTATTCGGTAAAAAAGAACACGTGTATATATATGATATATATTTTAGTATTAATTTATTTGTGTTGATTTATTTTCAAAATATTTGTTAATTAAGTCATGTTTTTTATATAACGCATTAATATAAAAAAGTCAAATTTATCAAGTCATAATTGATTTATATTTATTTTAAATAGGTTTAAAGAATGGTTAAAAAAAAAACCACAAAGGATACGAGTGTTATAAATCAAAACATGAAGGAAGGTCTCTGAAATTATCTCATTTTTTATTGGTTAAACAAAAATCGAATTGTAAAAGTTCAAAAATTGATAAACTGAAACTGACAATAAAAATATCTTGTTGATTTGGTTATTAACTTAGTGTATTTAAAAATCAATAAATCAAATTGATAATACATAAAACTAAATTGAATCGATCGATGCACACCCTTGCTAAACTAATTTATTTATGTGATTTCTTTTCCATTTTTATCACTTATGAAATTATTCAAACTTAGTAGTTTGGTTTGAATTTTATATATGAATTCAAAATTCTTTAAATAAATATATAAAAAAAAATCCAATAAATCAAATATTAATAATAAAATTTTAAAATTGAAATTTTCAATCTGCTTCTATCAAATATGGCAAGAGGCCAAACTAATTTAAACCACATATATTGTTCCTTGATTATTATTTGTGTGGAATGTGACTGCTGCCCTTTATGAGAGGGACTTGATTTGAGATGGACAAGGAAAATGTTTTCATCCAAGAAATTATTTTTAATAAGGAAATATCAAATTGATTCACTAATTGATTTTAGACTGATAACAGAAAAACCTAAACTACCACTTCTAGGTAAATGTATGAATTATGTGGATAACAATAATAAAGTTTAAATTTAGTTGTGCATTGAGATCGTCTTAAAAGTTAATCTTAACCCGTAATAATACTGATTTTGATATGATATTGTTTGCTTTAGATCAAATTTGTATGATGATTATAAAGCAACATATTCACACAAATAGTTATTTTGATAGAGATTACCTAGCAAAGGCAGGGGAAGTAATAATAATTCCAAGTTTTTTACCAAGCCAGAGTCTACAAATGGGGCCATAAGTTTGGGAAAGAGATGCAAAATAGGTGTGAAGTTCAGGTTCAAGAGAATGGAGATTACCTAGCAAAGGCAAAGCTTTAGGCCCCGGTGGCAATGGGGGTTGTCCCTTTTTTGACTTGTTAATGAAAAGCCAAAGAAACCATAGTAAAGCTACAATACCAAGAACATAGGAGAAAAATACACCTTTTTGCTCAATATTTGATACTTGCCAGGGACATGAGAAAGAATCAAACAGAGGTTTGGATAATAAGGTACTCTTTTATATTATATATATATATTATAATATAAAATATAAATTTTGAAATATTTTCTTACAATGAGCATGAGAAATAATTGTTGAAATGCCCCAAACATCATTATGAATGACATCAAAATACTTCGCAAAACAACTATCAAAATTAGGAAAAGGTTGAGTTTTATTTTTGCCTATTTTGCATGTGTAGGACAATCAAAGGGAGTTGCTGAAAATTGATTTTTATTTCTCAATAACCCAAAACTCCATAAATGGAACAAAACGGTAGAACTTGGATGCCCTAGATGCTTATGCCAAACCTTAGTCTTAGTAGCTAGTTGTAGAAGAACAAGCAAAAATAAAACCCGAGGAATGAAAGAGTGTAAAGGAAACAATCTTCCAACTTTAGGCCACTTCGCAATTATCATCTCCGACGTATGATCCTTTCATATCTTTCTTCACTTCGAATGTAGCTTAGTTGGAATTATGATTATGCCACATAACACCTTAACGAAGGCTATATCCACAGACTCACCTATCAATTCTGAATTGTCTTTAGCCTTTCTCGAATATTATTTACGTTTTCTCGGGCTTCATGAACAAGATTGGGCCAATCAGCTTCACTCTACTCAGTTCGAACCAACCTATGGGCGATCTACATTGTTTCCCGTACAAAGGTCTCAAACGACTATTTAGATGCACATCGGATAGCTGTTGTTATTATCGAACTTTATCAACAGAAGGTGATCATCCCAGTTACCTCATAAATCCATTACATAAGCTCGTAACATATCATCAAGTGCTTGAATGGTCCTTCTGCTTGCCCGTCTATCGGCAGGTGGAAAATCATGCTAAGATTAACATGTGTGCCCAAGCCTTTCTGGAACAACTGCTAGAAGTGAATGGCCTACTGTACACCTCAGAAATGATGCCATCTGGAACACACAAATGACCATTGTGAATGAGGAAACTGTCAGCAAAAGAATAGCTTGATTAGGTATTTTAACTTGGGTTGAGAAGATTCTGGAAGGAATCTAATCAAATACTGGGGATTCAGGCACACTGGGTTGCAGCTTTCATATTCTTGATGTGTAACAACTGTATAGAAACCATTGAATTAATTAGAAATGGATCCAAATTACAGGGAACACGTCTCCATATATGTTCATCGTACAAAAGACACAAGCATAATCACTACAAACACATTTCAGTAGTAATATAAAAAAACTAACAAAAGGCAGGAAACAGGAGATTGCAAACCTCAATGACAATAATTACAAGCATATGTGTGCTCATCAAACCATACTCTTAGGGCTAACTTACACACGAATTACAATATAAAGATCTATCGTTAAGCATATAATAGTAACTGCAGTACTGATGTATGTTATTGTCCATTTGATTCATTGCATTAAAATAAAGTAAGTGCTTCAATAGAGTAATACATGTATCACAACAACAACATACTCAGTGAGGGTAATACATGTATTATTATTTCAAATTCATAAGTAGTCATAAAAAAAATCAGCCATATCTCAAGAAACAGTCGACATTGAGTTGTTCATAAGACCATTGACAGGATAGAGCAACATCTTTTATTTTACTCATAGAGTGTTGGATTGGATAATCTTGGAATAGGTATAGCCACCAGAGGCATTTTCTTCTTCAGAACAATCCCAAACTTCTCTGTGAGGTCTAATGTCTCTCCTTGGGGCAATTTCCAGTCGAAAGAATGACTGAGTGAAGCCAGTGAATACATGAACATCCTCTCTGCCATGGCTATCCCCGCACAGATTCTTCTACCAGAACCAAATGGGAAATAGTTGAAATCATTTCCACTATAATCCCATTTATTGTCCAAAAATCTCTCTGGATGGAACTCAGTTGGATTTTTCCAGATAGAAGGATCTCGCTGTATAGCCCATACATTTATGAAAACACGAGATCCTTTAGGGACAGTGTATCCTCCAACAGTGCATGTTTCACTAGGACAATGTGGCACCAATAGTGGAAGAGCTGGATGTAAACGCAAGGCTTCTTTCATAACTGCATAGAAATATGGTAAGTGTTGAATATGAGACTCTCCCACTATGTTATCTTTTCCCACGACGGTATCTAGTTCTTGTTGTAATTTCCTCAAGACATCTGGTTTGTTCATAATTTCAGCCATGGCAAACTCAACTACGTTGGCGGTAGTGTCAGTTCCACCAACAACCATATCCTGTTCATAGTATTCGTAAAGTTATTATCATGTACAACAATTTTTTATTTGTAGAACTGTATATAGGTGTTCAGCTCAAGGCTCTCAATTTAGTCTTCACATATTTTTTTGATATAATTAAAGCTTTATATATTATTTGATGCTAAATGACTCTTTCCTTAGTGCAGTCCAATAAATAGTTAGCAACCAACAATTCAGTCATCTAATGGAAACAATCAAAATCGCATCTAATGGAAGTAACAGATCATACCATGAGTAAGGCTTTGAGTTCAGTCATAGTCAGAGGCATTTTGGAATCTGCTTCATCTTTCAACTTCAGCAAAACTTGCAAAAAGTCCTTGCTTTCTTGACCAACATCAGCTCCCATCTCAGTATTTCTATCCATTTTCTGTCTTTGATCAATCATGCTCTCAAATATCTTATCAAATCTCTTTGCCAACACTTTCATCTTCTTTATAACACCCTGCAAATCGAACCAGTCCAAGCCCGGGTAAAAATCGGAAACATTTGGAGTACCTAACAGCTCAGTCATTTCATTCACAACATGCCTAAACTCTGCCCCAAGATTAGCTCTTTCCTCACCCTTCACTGTGCCACCCCATAACATGCTTGTAATCACATTAAGAATAGTCAAGAACATCTGTTCACCAACGTTCACTGGTAAACCCTTCTGACTATAGAAGTAATTGATTGTCTGTCTAAGCTCCTTTTTCCTTAGTCCATAAACAGAATCTAAATTAGAACCACTAAGCATATCACGAACACAAACCTTCCTCAACATACGCCATTTCGGTCCATAAGGAGTCCAAGTTATGTCATTTCCACCATATGTAGCTTCTCTACCAGCAGCCGGCACATCTCTGTTAGCAAAAATGGTATCTTGATCCTTAAGAACCTCACGAGCTAAAGCAGGAGAAGTAATAATAATCCCAATTTTTTTACCAAGCCAGAGTCTACAAATCGGGCCATAAGTTTGGGAAAGAGATGCAAAATAGGTGTGAAGTTCAGGATCAAGAGAATGAAGATTACCTATCAAGGGCAAAGCTTTAGGGCCTGGTGGCAGTCTCTTGTTTGAGTTATTACTGATGAAAAACCAAAGGAACCATAGTAAAGCTAAAAACCCAAGAAAATAGGAGAAAACCACCCCCTTTTGCTCAACATTGAGTTCTTGAAGGGGCCATGAGGAAGAATCAAAAAGGGGTTTGAAGAATTTGAGAGACATTGTTAGAGGAAAATGAAAATTGGCAAAAGCAATGTGGTGGAAAGCTTGAAGCTTTTGCAGGACTTTAAAAGAGGGATTTTGGAAGAAGACGAAAGAAATTTAGCATCCCCATCATTACATGAAACACCATTAAATTCGGTCGACATACCACCTGTCATATATTTGTTTTATTTTAAGAGTATTTTTTTCTAATAATTTTAGAGATTTTCCTAGAAATTTCGCTATAAAACATTTCTCTCACGTGTTATTTACGATATTATACCTATAGCTTATCTTTTTTAATTTGATTTTTTCATAGCCATTTTTCGAACAGGTTTAAAATAAATATAATTAATTGCAATTTGACATTTGTCCGTCTTTATATTAATTTTGTCATATTAATTCATATTTTAAAAAATAACTTATTTAATAAAAACTTTTAAAATAATTTTATTAAGAAGAAATGTGTATCTTTATTCGGTAAAAAAGAACACGTGTATATATATGATATATATTATAGTATTAATTTATTTGTGTTGATTTATTTTTAAAATATTTATTAATTAAGACATGTTTTTAATATGAAGAAATTAATAGGAAAAAAGATAAATTTGTTCAGTCATAATTGATTTATATTTATTTTAAATAGATTTAAAGAATGATTACAAAAAAATTAAAATAAGAAAATTATGCGTAATATCGTAAACCACAAGGGATATGAGTGTTATAAATCAAAACATGAAAGGAAGGTCTCTGAAATTATCTCAATTTTTTATTGCTTATGAAATTATTCAAACTTAGTAATTTGGTTTGAATTTTATAATATATTCAAAATCCTTTGAATAAATATATAAAATATAATTTTTGAATCCAATAAATCAAATATAAATAATTAAATTCTAAAATTTAAATTTTGAACCCGCTTCTATCAAATATATGGCAAGAGGCAAAACTTATTCGTAAACCACATATATTGTTCCTTGATTATTATCTATGTTGAATGTGACTGCTGCCCTTTATGAGACGCACTTCATTTGAGATGGACAAGGAAAATATTTTCATCCAAGAAATTATTTTTAATAAGGAAATATCAAATTAATTCACTAACAGATTTTAGACTGATAGCAGAAAATACTAAACTACCACTTCTAGGTAATTGTATGAATTATGTGAATAACAATAATTAAGTTTAAATTTGATTGTGCGTTGAGATCGTCTTAAAGTTAATCTTAACCCGTAGTAAAAATGATTTGATATGATATTATTTGCTTTAGATTAAATTTATATAATGTTTATAAAAAGAAATTTCATTATTATTAAAAGTATTTTATATTTTTCATATAGCTTCTCAATCATTTTTAATAATATATATACCAATTTTGTTCACATATCGAACAATCTCCCCCTGGTATTAAGTTTCTATTGTACATTAGAAAAATCAATTTTTGAGATAGATTGAGTGTATCACCCACATGCATGAATGATTGAGAATTTATGGTTGTTCAGCCAAAAAAAAAAAAAAATGTATGGCAATTTAACTCCAGGATTAGTTTTTTCAGCTTGTGCGTATACGATAATTTAAAGCTATTTTTATCATAATAAAGATCGTAAAGTCAATAAATTACGTCATGGCTCCATTATTTTTATATTCATATCATCAAATTATTGATTCTAATATGCTCTTCAACTATTACACATTTTTATTACTTAAAAAGTGAATATAATATCACTCTAATATGTGCAACACCACTTTCATCGTATGTGATGTATTCACATCAGCGCTATGTCAGCACCATGTCAGAAATTATATTTTTTATATCTTTTTTACTTTCTTTTCTTTATTACTTAACTTTTATTTATTAATTATATTTTACACTAATTAATTCCTAATTAATTATTAAAATTATCTAATAATTATATCTTCTTCATAGCTAAATGGTAAAGAAAAAACTTTTAGCAATAGCCACCAAGAAAATTGCCCGCAATCTGGAGTTGATTTGTGGAGTGGAAGAATTCTTTCATTCCAAAATGTATCAACAAGAAGGTTGCTTCAATTCTTCCATTGATTGACCATGGAAACTGAGCTTCCATTGTTATTTATTGCGACTTGTAGTTGTAAATATTTTTCAGATCTGGGCATACATTCTTTGTTCTTTTTCCATGTTCTTCAGGGTGGTTTCTTAATAGAAAAATAAATTTCTTCTCATTTTTAATTGATCACTCAATTCACTCAAAAACGTCCGCCAAAGCTTAACAATTGAAACCTCCTAAAATTTTACTCCTTTTTGAAGTAATTTGTTTCTTGATTGCTTCTTGTTATTGGTTTATTTTAAGCTTGATGGTGTGTGAAGAACTGAGGAGGATGGGGTGTGAAGAGAAGAAGAGATGTGGGGACTGGGGAGTGGGGTGTAAAAATATTTTAATTTTTTTCTTACTTAAATAATTATCTGATGCAAATGATTATTTTTTATTATTATTATTATTATTTTGTCATGTTAGCTTTAGGGGTAAACAAATTCATTTTTAAATAACAAATATGTGAAATAGATCATCATAATAGTTTAAACATGCAACTGACTTTTCGATACAAGTTGAAAGAAAAATTTATGCATTATTGAACTATAAAAAAAATACACTTAATTAACGTACTCACGTTATGTCCTATCGGCCAAAAGTAATACTCCATTACCCTGACTAATTAGCTGCTTCATTGATTTTCTTTGGTTGTTGTGAATTAATTGAAGGACATAGTTTTAAAATTTCTTATTTACAACCATAGTTGTCCATTATTAACTTGGTACGCTCCTTAAGAGATATATAAATAATAGAAATAATATTATTATTTTATCTTTTAATTTTATTAAATTTAATGTTTTGAGAAATGTGTTATATAATAAATAGTATTTAATAGCAAAGGGTAAAATAGACACAAAAAGTAATTTATATCTTGATTTTCTAAACTGGACAAATATTGTTTGACAACTATTTTTAGTATAGTGGACAACTATTGTTAAATGGAGTAAGTAGTTTAGCAGGGTTTTGTCATAAAGGACACTAAATTGAGTCAAGATTGAGAAGTTGTACATGAAAATTAGAATTGATAAATACAAGTGATACAAACTAGTAACAATTGATTTAGAAAAGCAAATGAATACAAGTGAAATTAAAGTGGATGAATAAATACCATCTTCTAAATTTTTGTTGCTTGTATACACCATTGTACTATTTTATGTATTTTGCCTCAGTTGTATTAGTTGTGCGAGCAAATACGGTTAATAGATGATTCTATTTGTTGTGCAAACGAATATAATTGATATATGTTTCTACTTATTGTGCGAATGAATATAATTGATACATATTATATTTGTTGCCAAACAAACACAATCGACATAGCAATATTCATTTCGCAAATGAATAAACGGAATACAATTGTCTGACAATCAAATTTTGTTATGAATGATAATTACTGAAACTATAGTTCCATTTGATAATTAGCCTCCACACTATATTGATTTTTATAAAGTTTCTCTTGTTTAATCTATCTTGACATAGTTTATTTCAATCCCATAATATTAAGTCGGTCAATTTTAATATGTTTAAATTCAATCTATAAATAACCCGTCGATTTATTAGTCAACAAACATAGCTCCCAGCTGCTAGTAGTATAGGGGCCATACTGTCAATGTCATTTGTTGTAGATAAAGATAGGTATATTGTAATTTACTTCCCCTAATTTTGTCCATAAAGTCTTGGCTACATAAGTTTAGATGACTTTGATCAACATGTAAATTATGCTACTAAATGCAGTTTTGCCCTTTTGTATTATGAAGTCATTATAAGGTACGCAAGCGTCATTAATATCAGATAATTTCTTTTTATTTATCTTAATTTTGTTGGATAAAGATGTCTGATATTAAGGATATCAAAACCTTTGACCTTTGTTGAATTAAATTTGGACGAATCAAAATAGATTGAGTTTATAATAGGTGAATCATTAATCCAACCTAATCCGTCTAATTCTTATCAATTTTTTAGGTTAATTTTTCACTAATAGAAATAGAAGATGCATGTTTCAATTAATCGAAGGTTGTGATTCAAGTTCATGATATGTATTGTTCACTTTGGGCTTAGGCCCATAAGCTATGCACCCCATTTCAAGCCTCAAATTAAAAGTGTGTGTACCATGTGAACTTGAGTTATAACTTATAAAATCTCTTCACTTTTTTCCCTCATCTGACGTGAGATTTGCCTAAGGTATTATGTGCATTATTTAAAAAAATTGTCAGCATAGAAGTCCGTCAATTCTGCTTGATCCACACCCTCATTAGTTCGCCCTCCATTAAAAGTATCACAAAAGTCAATTAATATGCTTAGTCAAATATTACAAAAGCAAAAAGTAGCATATCTATATATTACTATATAAGAAGAGGGAATAAGTATTCACCACAAGTCAATATATGTTCCAATAAGAAGAGGGAATAACCAATATATTTATAAAAAGAAATGACATATAAAATAAAATGGAGAGAGTATTGGTTTTTCAAAATGGAAAAGGACAAAACACATATAAAATTAAAAGACATATAAAAAAAAGTTGGTTTAACTCTCAAACATAAAAAGTAACATATGTTATTAAAAACTTTAATAAAAAGTACTATAATTTACAATAAATAATAACTTAAAATATCTACAAGACAACAAAAAAAAGATTAATTTTTGTACTGCTTCTGTCACATAAATTAGGATTGGGATGATTTTAAAATTTTAGTTTTGGTTATACATTATAAAATAGCCGAAAAATTGAATGATATAATTTTTTTTAAAATAACCGAATGAATCGTCCTATCGATAACCCTAATGTTACTTCTACTCTGTTTATTTTTACTTAAATTTAGAAAGATATGCTTCATTTCTGCCCTCAATCTTATTGCTACATTTATTTGCTATTTAAAATTGAAATTAAAAAGACAAATGACAAATAAGTTTCTATATTAGCTCATTATGAGCAAAATATATTATAACAATCTTTACTAATT